GGATCAAAGTTTTACATTGGAATATATAGGAAAATTCTTGAAAAAATCTTGTCAAGAGCAGAAAGGCATGATTAGTCATATTAATGTCGAAGCATCCTCAGGTAGTGTAGATTCAAGATTGTTCAGTGACCCCTGAGGGAAGGGTGAGACAGACAGAAATGGGGGATTCAAAGTTTAACAGAGGAGTATATAGGAGAAGTCTTTAAAAATCTTTTTCACAGGAACAGCAAAGCCTTGATTAGTCATATTTATAACAGACCTGTTTACTCTTACGATTTCGCCGTATTTTGAGCCTTAAATACGTCTCACGTTTTGCTTGAATGAAAATACGGAAATCCGAAATGCGTTCGTTTTAACTTTTAGCAGTTAGTTTTCGTTATGATCTGTCTCAGTTTGACGCTAAAAAAGAAGGATTTCAAACACTAAGTGGTGTCGGGTTGCCAAAAAGCGGTGGTTTCTCTAGTAATATATGTAAAATCGATGGAAAGTAAAATCTTACGGGAAAATGCCAAATCTCACTGACAAATCTCATAAAAAATACTGAGAGACAACACTATGGGTAAACAGGTCTGTTATAAGGAAGCATTTACAGGTAGTGTAGATTCAAATTTGTTCAAATCATAACTCCTGGGAGTAGGTTGGGGCCACAATGGGCATTCAAATTTTTACAAAGGAATACATAGGAAAAATCTTTAAAAATCTTCTTCTCAAGAATAGTAAAGCCATGTTTAGTCATATTTACATGGAGGCATCTTCAGGTAGTGTAGATTGAAGTTTGTTCAAATCATGACCCCCTGGGTTGGGGCCATAATATATGATCAAAGTTTTACATAAGAATATGTAAGAAAAAAATCTGCTTATGAAGAACAGAAGGGCCATAGTTACTCAGGTGAGCATTATGGCCCATGGGCCTCTTGTTTACTTACCTGTACATCAACATTCACTATAAGGAGGTTTTTGAAGAGCAGATTTCCAGTGATAAAATGTAGTTAAATTGAGGTTTCTAGAGAAAAATTTGAAATATCATTCAAGTAACAATTTGTACTGGACTAATAATTTTTTAGGTGAGAATGTTGACTTGAAGAGCTATGACTCTAGTGCAGCTGGCCTTATCCAATCCTGGGTCGATCGGTTCCCTGAAGATGATCTCGCAGACAAAATGATGAAGTTATGGGAAAAAGAAAAACCATACTTTACGGACTAAACTGTGGTGGCAGCACACTATGAAATTTAATTTGAAAATGCCATATATTGAGATGAAACTATTTGTATTTGATATACATGTACTAATATTTGGTAACCAGTGAAAACAGAAACAGAAATGACACCAGATCACAACTTTGTGGAATTTTGATAATTGTTACTGAAATCATGTACAAATGTAATTACTAATACCTTTTAAGTGGATCAGATCACTACTTTATTGAATTTTGATAATTGTTACTGAAATCATGTACAAATGTAATTACTAATACCTTTTAAGTGGATCAGATCACTACTTTATTGAGTTTTGAATAATTGTTACTGAAATCATGTACAAATGTAATTACTAATACCTATTATGTGGATCATCATTCATGAAACATAAAAAAAAAATAAATAAATGAATCTCACACAGTATTGTTTTCATCTGTATGTTCATGATCATTTAATTATTGTCTTTTTAATTTGTTGCTCTGTTTATATCCAAAAAAAGAAGAAGAAAGAATTGATTCGTGCATTAATTTTCTCAAACACAATTGTTGTTAATTAAAGTATTCATTAATGATATCTTCAATTGAATTAAAGAGATCAACAAATTATATTTCTACAGAGATCTTAATAAATTTTTTCAAGCAAATATTCCACAACATTGTTGAGCTTAAAAATTGAATCGATGAGATCCATCAATTGAATCAATGTGAGCATCAGATTTATTACTGCTTTCATCAATGGAATTGATTTGTGCATCAAATCAATTTTTGCTCTATTTTATGCAATTGATGCATGCATCAATTTAATGCACATCAATTTAATTTTACAAAATGAAATTAATATCTTAAATCATTCAGGATATCTTCAGTTATATAATTTTATGTTAATTTAGGGTTCCATATTTTTCACTGAAAGTAGAAAATTTATTAAGGTTTATTATTGATGTTGGAGTGAATTTTTTTTTCTGTTGATGCCTTCTTTCACACAAACAAGTGCTGGAAAAAAATTCAGTTAAACATGTTGAGTATCTTATCCGAAATCACTATCAATGTTCTGCATTCTGAGTGACCGATACTTTGTATTGAATACAGTTTCTAACAACATTATTGTAAAGTATGATATCAATATATTAGAGATAATACTGCAAAAAAATACCGCCAATATAATTCTCTCTAGTTAGATTGCATTTCAAATACCAATTTGGAACTTCATCCAGCCTTGGTCAATGGTGAATTTATGAATACTGTCTCCTTTTGACACTTATATAAGACCAAAGCTGTAATTGAAGTACATTCATGTATGTTAAATGTTGGTCACATACAGTATCCAAAGTATGAGTGATGGTATCTACCACCCACTAACCAGATGCTAGTTTGTAGAACTAGTCTCATAGCTACAGGTGCATTCGAATTGACCTGCAGCAACAATTTACTTGATCACTTATCCAGAAAATGTCTCTTGAAGCATCCAAAAGAATGGTAGTTACTGTCCTGAATACAACTTTGAAAGACGAAAACGTGTTATAAAGCGTAGGAATTGTCAATTTCTAAAACGAGGTTATTGACAAACAAGTTGATGAGACAAGAATATCAGCAGTCTCGTTTAAAGTAATCATTTCGTAAGTTCTATGGTCGGTACAATGACCTTGTCAGCAAATACAGTCTTTCATTAAGTCAAATGCTGACTGACTTTCTTCATACTAATTGTTAGACCATTATTTACACACTGAATTCCGTTATTTCCAGATCATGACAAGGGTGTGACCGGTCGGCAGGGGATGCTCGATCACTCCTCCATTGCACCTGATCCCACCTCTGATGTCTTAGAGGTCCGTGTTTGCTCTGCTCCTATTTTGTAATGTTTAATGGACTTTTGAGCTCGAATAATGTTCGTTATCTCCACATATTTCAATAGCTTGCAGCATTCAGCATGGTATTTTAATTTAGTACATTACATACATGTGCATGTCATATCTCTTGCAAGTCTTATTAAAGTAGGTTTTGTAGACACGGGAAAATGGACCTGTTTTATATGGTTGTTACAGATTATCGTTGTATCTTAAAGGTATAGTAATTCCGGAACTGACCTTCCTAATAACTTGCAAAATCAGCTGCAGAGCATCTTTTGTTTCTGTAGTGTTATCATGCTTGAAAGTGTGTTCGATGTTAGACTTGTATCTATTTGGCAATTGATCGGCATCAGAAACAGAGAAATGTTCTCAAAATGCAATGCACTTGCAGCATCAGAAGTAATGTCTGGAATGTGGTGTGCAATGTTTACACACAATTCCAGATGATCTGAAGCAGATTCGTTCCTAAATAACCGCAAGACTTACTTTGACCAAAGCTGTATGATGCAGGATGCAAACTATTGACCATACTTCGTATACTGCAACTTGTAAGAAATTCTTAAACCTATATGTTTTGTAAAAAAAGTTCCAAAACAATCTGATTACAGATCATAGTAGTTGAAACCCTATTTCATTTCTACAACATGGTTACAACTGTTTAGCCATATTGTAGGAAAAACTCTCTTCATGGTCCGGGTCAGAATTCGAGTGTCAAACCATTGTCATGAGGAAAACTTTGTTTTCAAAATCACGTTTAGAATTAATGATAAGGACAATATTCTATTATTTTAATGTAATTTAAATCATTAGTAATACTTTCACCATTTACAACCTTACTTCCAAATTTAATACATGTATAATGTAACAGGTGAACATTTAAAGTGTTTTTTTTTTATGTAGAGAGAGTAAGGTACTAATATCATAGACTGAATAAAACATTGAAAGTGTTCGATCTGCTTTACTTGTATTCTGTAGAGAGGCAAACTTTGTGGAGAAAATGAATCCAAAATACCTGATACCACAATCTGACTTTAATTTACAAATAAATTGTGTAGTCATATTTCATTGTTATTTTCGCTTAAAATGTAATGTGTAAACTAATTCATTAATTTAACAAAGCATTAAATTTTGTACATGTAATTGAATTTATTACTTTTTGAATGAATGTAACGGTAAAGGAAATAGTAGTGACAAAATTACAAAGAAATGGTACGTTAATGCATTGCATTTCGAAGTAATTGACCCCAGATCTAACCTAATGTTACATGTATTTCAATACAGCTAATGTACACCCAAAAGGAAAAATGCTGTAAAAACTGTACATTAATTTTGAAAATTTACAATACCGTCTTTCCTCTTTGAATTCTTTATTTCTATTTACGTTTTGCCGTGTATTTTTTTTTGTACAAACTCTGACTAGTTTGTAAAATAAGGTATATAGGTTATACTGTATCTCATATACCAATTTTTGGTTTGAGTAAATAAATTGAACTGTTACAGTGAGAATAAAAAGAAGATAAAATTAAAAAAATAATAATCAGAGAGACAATTCTCTTTTACTCTCTCTTTACTTAGTTAAGCCCGTGTCATAATGTCACGATTTTTGGTTACGACAGAGTACGAATTGAAAAATCGTACTAATTCGGCTTTCATCGTGGAGATAGTCGTAGGATATCTTCATAATTCGTGTTTCATCGCAGCAAATCGCTAAAAGCGGCGATTGTTTTGAGCATGTTCAAAATAATCGTGGCCACAGTACGATTTTTAATTATCCGTAGCCGATCGTACAGCCATCGCAATTTCACTCGTACACATATTCGTAGTAAATCTTCGACATTCGTAGGGCACTCGCAGAACTTCCAACGCTGCGAGTTTCCTACGACTTATCGCGAGTGTCCCACGAGTTTCTGCTAGTGTTTCTCGACATAAAAGGAATGTAGTTTGATTTCATGCGAATATGATACGAAAACAGGCGATTGACGGCGAGTGCAATACAAGTACCGTGCGAGTGAACTACGAATTATTACGAATGTACGCGTTGACTATAAAAGAAGTTATCTGATGATTACCTTGTCAAAAATCAAAATGCCGCCATGAAGAAAGGGTAAGAAAACGCAAAAAGAAACTGAAAAAAAACATGTTGTCCTGAAATTGAAGAACGTGGTGATTTGACTCAAGATCCAGAAGAACCACCAGAAGAACCACCAGAAGAACCACCTCCACAAGAAGAATCAGAACCTTTACAAAAAAAGAGGCGACAAAACCTGAATTTTAGTGAGGAACAAGAGGCAGAACTTGTAGAATGGCTAAAGAACCACCCTATATTTTACAATAAAGGATCAAAAGAATACAAAGATACACAAAAAGCAGCGCCTTTGGCAGGAAAAGGCTCAACAAATGGATGTTCCAGGCATGGATTTTACATGGAATGATGCATTTTGGGAAAATTGTTGCACTCTTAATATAGATTTTTTGTTAATTTACATTACATCTTTGTTTTCTTTTTAGTGGAAGATTTACAAATCTGGTATAAAAGCATGTACACTATATATGGAAAATTGTCTCAATATGAATCAGGTGACGGTCGAAAGGAACTTACAGAGAGAGACAAATGGGTCAAAGATTCATTTTCTTTTCTATCCAGCCATATAGTTCGTGTAATCAGTAGACAAGCTGTAAGTGTAAGTATCATTACAATACTTTAAGAGTCAATAATATATCTACTTTTTCTATCTATATTTGATAAATGCTTTTAATTGCTGTAGTTCCGGACAAAAATGGGGCCTGGACAGCTCAAATAAACCTGACACACCTCAAACGATCGATATTGAAGAGGAAATCGAAAATGAAGACGATCAAGAAAAACAACGGAGTACCTCTTCCAATATCACTAAAAATCCAAGCTCTACAAACTTGCCAAGCATGAAGGCACGTACCGGTACTGCAAAAAAGAAAACAAACACCAGAGATTCGGACATGTTAGCACAACTTAATGAGAGGGTAACGGAGACAAAGACATTGCAGAACAGAATTGACGAGCTCGTGAAGTCAGCAGATAATCCCCGCACAGCTTTGGCAAATTGGATGGGGACCGTGTTTCCTTATATCCATGACGACTTGTGGGAACAATATCTTCGTCAATCTTTCGACAGTCTCTTTTGGTATTATTCGGAGTCGAATAGAATACGACGACAAAGAGATCAGGTCTCAAATCCGACAGGTTTACCATCATTTCAGCAACAGCAAAGAGCAAGTGAAGAACAGCGACAAAGTTGTGGAGGTTTTCATCCAATCAACTGGGACACAACACCGCCTCGTTATGACCAACAACAACAGGTCCAGTCAACCCCAAGATCGTCCTCAAAATCCTTCCATATTTGCCTTGTCATTGGTCATTTGCAAAATTATTTTGTTAAAAAACATTCTGATTGTACACACAAGTACTCTGAAGTTGACATTAAAAGGATGCTTGAGTTTCTGATTGACAATATCTATGTGGTTTTTGGAGACCAGGTCTTCCAACAATCTATTGGAATTTCTATGGGTACCAATTGCGCCCCGTTATTAGCAGACCTTTTTTTGTATTCATATGACGCAGAATTTGTCCAAAACCTTGCACGTGAAAAGAAAAAAACACTTGCTGTGGCCCTCAACTCGACATTTAGATATATCGACGACATATTGTCAATTAACAATGGCTATTTCCATTCTTATGTCGATACGATATATCCTGGTGAGCTTGAGATAAAAGATACCACAGAGTCTGACACATCTGTTTCATATTTGGATATATTACTTGAAAAAGACGTTAAGTGTAATCTAACAACCAAGCTTTATGATAAACGTGATGACTTTAACTTTTCAATCGTCAACTTCCCTTACTTATGCAGTAATATACCTTCATCACCTGCATACGGGGTATATATCTCTCAGCTGATTCAATACGCAAGAGCATGCTCTACGTATGTACAATTTCTAAAACGAGGTAAATTATTGACAAACAAGTTGATGAAACAAGAATATCAGCAGCCTCGTTTAAAGTCATCATTTCGTAAGTTCTATGGTCGATACAATGACATTGTCAGCAAATACAATTTATCATTGAGTCAAATGCTGACTGACTTTTTCATACTAATTGTTAGGCCATTATTTACACACTGAATTGTCGACGGATTTTTCCGTTATTTCCCGATCATGACAAGGAGCACACGGCGGGTGTGACCGGTCGGCAGGGGATGTTCACTCCTTCATGGCACCTGATCCCACCTCTGATGTCTTAGAGGTCTGTGTTTGCTCTACTCCTATTTTGTAATGTTTAATGGACTTTTGAGCTAGAAAACTGTTCGTTATCTCCACACATTTCATTCAATTTTGTACCGCATATCAACTTAGAAGTACTTTTAAAGGATCTGAATGATGGAAATGATCTTGCTTGGGATAGCGTTGTGTTCCATTCATTACTCCGTTCTAAATTTGTCTCAAGAAAAATATCCGGGCCCTGTTTTACGAAAGAACTTACGACTACGATCAAAATGTTATTATGCAAATAACTTTCCTTTTCGCATTACTTTGAAAATGGTTTGAATCTTTTTGAAAAGAATTTAGAAAGATATATTTATGCAAACAATTTTAACAGAACCATAAGTTTTGTAAGATTTTTCAATCAACTAAGTTTTTATAGTCTTAGTCGTAAGTTCTTTTGTAAAACAGGCCTGTAAAAACTGATTTAAACCAATCTGCACATGACTTTCCCTTTTTTGTATGCAGCTTTTTTTTTTTTTTACAAAGGTATATGGATCTACAACAGGGGCCATTCTCTATATATATATATATATGACTCTCCTAAGGATGTTGCCGATACTGACAACAACAATATTCCTTTCCACTTATTTGCGTCAGCTAAGTCAAATTTCTTGGGTTGGTCTTCACTATGATACGAACTTTCCAATCATCTGGTGCTGTTTCTGTCTACCAAATAGTTTGCAGGGTATCAGTAAGAAGTTCAGGTGTAAATACTTCCTAACCTTTCAACATTTCTGCATGTACTTGATGGATCCCTGGGGTTTTCATATTCTTAAGAAGTTTGATGGCCTGTTTTGCTTCCTCTACCCTTGGTACGTTAGTTATGATGTCCACAGTGTCTGTACACCAGATGTCCACTATCTGGATGCCTGTTTATTGTTGGGTTTCACTACCATCCATCATGTGTTCAGTTTCCCGAATAGTTTCCATCCTTCCCTTACTATTTTCTTCGGCTCTGGTATCTGTAGCAGTTAGAATTTTTACATGTTAGGTTTGCTAACCATATAAGCAAAACCCCTTGGACTCGGGGAACCAGTACTTTTCTGTCAGGGGTTTCCTTTCCTTAGTCACAGGTAATGGTTATTTAAAGTCGCCTTACTCGCCTTTTACCACTGTTACTCAGCTATAATAGCATTTCCATCATGGCCATAGGAAAAGGGGGGGGGCACAGGGGGGCGTGCCCCCGATAATTAGAATACTATAGAAACCATAGCTACTATATGCTTGTGCCCCTCAATGATAACGTCTGATGACCTTTTTTTTCTTTTGCTTGTCAAGAAATTTCGGTAGTTGATAGTGCCCCCCGACTGAAAATGTATGGTTGTGCCCCCTCAAAGTGAAATTGCTTCCTACGGGCCTGTCCATGGTTACCAAACCGAGGAGATGTGACAAGTGACTTGCTGGCAGAACCTATTTGAAACGATGGATATTAACTCGAAGTTTTGTTGGGGAATCTCCGTGATCAAAGAAACACCCTTCGAGATCCTCACCAAAATTTGACCCCTTACTCTAACTTTTCCTCTTGGCTCAGCCGCCCCCCCCCTTCCCATGCAACTTACAAAACCCTAAGAAATGAATTAAAATTCAATGTGAAGTAGTGAACCTGTATAGGTACTAAAATTCCAACCTTAAACAATATCTAATTTATGTCTATACTCAGAGATCTTTCATGTATGCGTTTTCGTTTCTAGTACATGTATAATCCCGTAGATAAGAGATATAGGATCGCTTCATATTATCTACCGAGTGCTAAAAGGTCTTGTAGAAGTAACTGTCGGACACAATTTAACTAATGTATCTAACGTAAGATCACAAGCAAACGATGAATGATTTAATAAATTAATGCTGAAAGTCACAAATCACAGTAGCTGTTGTTTCTCATCTGCACATTACTTCATTGGTACGGTTGATACAACACATCATATTGAGGATGATGATGATTATAATTATTTTTTACAAAGTTCTTTCAACAAGCTGAAAATAACCAAATAATTCATAAAGTGGAATTGTGAAGGTAAAAAAAAAAATACACACACGCAACCAATCAAAGAACAAGCCAGCAAATAAATCAGAAACCAATCCTGGAAAGTTTGGTAAATTTCGCAATATGTCAACTGCGTTGAAAATGCGGACTCTCACAGAAGAAAAGTAGGCATTTATTTCTTATCTTTATAGGTATTTCAAGAACGATACTTCGAACGCAGATATGAATATTGTCGCGAAAAATCTTCTCTGTAAGTTGTTTTTAGCGATAAATGTTCACTGTTAATTATTTTATTGTGATTCTAGGTTTTACATATTCATTTCACATTTCAGTTTTGCTAGTCCTTTTCTCCGTCACAAGACGTGTTCAAGGTAAGTACGACTCAACTGTATTATCAGACAGATTATTAATTTAATGGACAAAATTGGTGCTTCACATAATTTTTTTACTAATGCAAATAAATTAAAAATATCATTCAGGATATACCGAATCTTTTCATGAGACCAATTACAAATTGTTGTGGACAAGTTATAAATCATTAACAGTAATCTATTTGTATCATCAGGTTTGACTTGTCTAAGATGTTCTGACGTCACTGAGCCCAGACTCTGTAATAAAATAGAACACTGTAATGATGGAGAGGTAAGATCTAATATCATTTTAAGGTAGCCCTGACTTTGTAATAAAATAGAACATTGTAATGACAGAGAGGTGAGACTTAATAGAATTGTAAGTTATTGTATGGTAGTCCAAACTTAAACATTCTAATACACATGCACTGATTAAAAACTGTCCTTGACAGGTGTGCGCAGTACAACAGTACCGAGCTGATAATGGTGACATAGGATATTGGACTGGATGTTTTCCTAAACAGGTCTGTCCACTTCAGATTTGTGAATTCTAAAATTTCTATAGGATTACACAACGGCGACTATCAGAACTTAAAAATTCATTTTATTCCCGTAGATTCATCTTTATTATGCTGGTTGTTTCTAATGTTATGGGTTATATTGCACAAAGTATATTTTAATTGTAAGGTAAATTTTAGGAATGCACAGCCGTGGATAATAGAACAGTAGTCACCCGAAAAAGAAGTCAGTACATAGATGGCGTGGTTCAGTGTCGAGATTGCTGTACATCAGATATATGTAACGCCTACGGATGTGGTTCTCCAAGTCAGTACATTTATTTATTACCAAGACTTGGTGGACATCGCATCTAAGTTCCCTCTGCATATGAAAATAACACTGTGAATACCATAATTTATGACAGAACAGTTAACGATAACAATTGAGGTCAAAGCAGTTCATTATAGTGGGCTGAATGTTCAATATAAACATATATCCCTCTGGTTTCATTATTTGGAAAATGATATATTACTCAGTTTTCTAACATAATGAAGATAAAAAATCAAAATATTTTTACCACGGCCTACTAAGTTTGAAAGAGGTAATGCTTTCCTTTATTTGTCTGTTTGTTAACAAGATATGTTTCAATACAAATCTTGCCCTATATTTTTCTTAAATATGAAAGTGATGTTAAAAATTAAAACTGAGATGCTTTCTGAATCATTGAAAGTCCATGCAGAAAGAGCATAAAAATCATTTTTCTCACATGACCTTCTAAATGCTAAATGTGACGTCATGAACTTGTGCATTTTCCCGTACTTTCTTAAAAAGTTGCAGAAGACATCAATTTTCAATGAAATTTTCTTTCAGATGACACAGACCACATGCATCGCCCACAAAGATTTTGTGATATGTGATTTTTCAAATAATTTTACGCAACATATCCAAAAATTAAAGTGGGCGACGGCTGTGGACACTATTTTTTGAAATGAAAATAACCCTTGAAATGGGTCATTTTAAGGCTATTTCTGCCGTTAACAGAGAAATGCATCAAATTAATGACGTCTTATTTCCAGAATGGCCCTCCTTCATTCCATGTTCTTTCCTGATTTATCACAGTCATATATACTGAAATCATATTTAAGCCAGTTTCAAAACTTTTTGAAAACATAAAATTTTTAGGGCACAATAAAGCCAAAACCGTATACCTTCTTCTTTAAAGGTAATGCGTGTCCTGTGGTTTAAAAAAAAAGGATTCGTGTATTTTATTTAAAAAAAAAATCCACGGATATTACCCCTTCCCGAATTTTACGAATATAATGTCATACTAGAACGTCACCAATGATGTGAACAGTGAGAAAGTAATATTTAATCCAGGATCGAAATAAAACTCGTGATTCCTTAATGAGATGTACAGATCTACACTGTATGAATGCTCTCTAGTTACAGGTATTTTAAGCTTACACAGACAAATGAATTTTCATGAATTTTTGGAAAGGGATTACTTGACCGATGCTTGTTTATCCCATTACATGTCAATTTCCCTATAATAATATAATAAACATGGAAACAGACAGAATTTCTAGTTTTAGTTATATCTATACAATCAACGATATAAAAGATTTGATTTATTCATTCATATCTTTTGATAATTGCACGTTATCTAGTCTTTTTTTTTTTTTTTATTTATCTCTTTTAGAATACCCTGACTCCCGGGGGCCTATTTGTTTTGATTGTGAAGATGTGGCGGATCCAGCCGACTGCCATAATATAACCCCGTGTAATCTCAACCAAGTATGTCATACGTATGTAGCAATCAATTGTTCTCTTTTCCCCAAATGTTGGAGAACATGTATAAATACAGCTGTATTTTCTCTAGCTTCCAAATCTCTGTAAAGACGATTATTTTCGATTTATTACTTGATTTCTTATATATAGATCACATTTTGTTTAAGTCATGAATATGGAAAGTGTTTGACATCATTCTTGCTTTTAAAGCAAGATTAATATCAAGCACTTACGAGCTAGATGTCATTTATTAAATCATGATCCTTAAAAAAAGATAGACTATCCCTGGAAATTATATAGTAAATTATACATGATCATAAACATACTTTTAATTTGTCTCTAAAAAATTCAAAAGATTTGTATCATGTCATTTTGTACTACAATTTCCAATAATCCTATCAAATGCTACATGTAGGATAAAGACTTTCTTGTCAATGGGATGTGAAACATGTTAAAACTGTTTATCCCAATCTAAATCACAAATCAATCGAAAACCTCTTCAGCCTCCATCCATTCAGTTGACAGTCCACCAGATCTTGGTACTTGAGTTTTTTCCCATTATATACATCCTCGATTACTGTCAGTTACTGTCAGTTCCAAAAGAATGTTTTATTAATAGTCACTTACCAGATGACTATGTTGGGACTTCTTGTTTGTGACTACTTTTTCAGGTAGAAATTCCATTCTATGTATCAGGTCAACCCGAATCTATCAATCTGTTGCTATTCCCAACAAAACATTTCTTTCCACAATGATTTTATGTCCTTGAATTCTTTCACAAAGTTGACATTTTGCAGCCCATCTATGTTCTTCTTGTTTCTCTCCAATATAGTCAGCCATACTGGCAAGTCCTCTACCATGTTTCAAAGTGCATCACCCAAAGACTTTGAGCAATTTCATGAAATATGCTCCAAGTTGGCTGGTTTACTACAGAAAACACACTTTTGACCATCTGTCATTCTCCATATCGCAAGATAAGTTGGGCTTGGAAGAACTCAAGTAATTTTAGCATAAATTGAAATTTAGATAGCTCAATCTTCAAAATATCATTCTATTCTAACTTCACCTACCGTGTGTATTCCAAATTTATCCAACTTTTAGGTTTCATCATCCCAACTTCTTTCAGCTTTCTAGAATCTTCTCCGATTATTTGCACTTCTCTATATCCAATATTCTGTTCCTCCTCTCCTGAAGCCTTTCCCCATTTTCTTACTGCTGTGACATCAAGCCCCTGCCTTACTATTGCCAATGTCCCGACTAACTTACTATTCCTCAAACGAAACTGCTTCCTCTACAGTTCTTTTTACCGACTACTTCCTCCCTGTCCTTATTTCTACTTTTGCTCTCCTTTTCCTTTCTAACATGTAACTTCAGATGTGGATGTACTTTTGTAGATTTGGATTTCCTTATTTCCTTATGATAAATTTAAGAGGTACAAAGGGTGATTGAAAAGTTTGCGAACTAGTTGAATAACTTACATACAAGAATTCAAATTGGGTTTTTGAATTTATTCTCTTTTAAAGTAGGTCCTCCAGCTTTATACACATCTGTCACTGTTCTAACCATGTACAAAATACATGACCCAGGCCCTCACGTGACATGCTCTGTAATGTACTGTTCACAACAGCCCAAACATTTTCCAGAGTCTAATATTTCTTTCCACGCAAGTAATATTTCAAAAACAAAAATATTCCAGAAATCACAAATTGCCAAATCTGGGTTAGGGTGAATAGATTAGTTTTTCTTTTCCCTGTTTTAGCATGGAGTCCATCATACCGACTCTCCTGGCTGGGTGTGTTGTCTTAGTGCAAAATGGATAATGTGGATCAAGTTTGGCCGTTTTTTCTTCAACGGCTCTCATCAAATTTGATCTGGAAACAGTCTCTCAAATAATTAATTTTTTTTCGGGGAAACCAAGTGATCAGCAATTATTCTGTTTATAAAATCCTCAGCTAATTCTCTGACTGTGAATCGGCGATCTTTTATTTTGAATTGCTCAACTAGGGACACATATCTTCCCGTACCAAAGTTCATTGGGCACCCAGATCATCATCTTTAATCGTCTCCCTTCCTTCACAAAAACGATACACCCTTACTACTAGTATTTCAAGTTTTTGCACGCCCTTTGTCCCCGTAATCATTATATAAATCTGTAAAGATTTCCTTAGATTTACGTAAATCTTTGCTCCAGTACGACTGAGTCGCCAATTTTTGTCGCAAGTTATCTAAAAATATTTACGTCATCTTTACATCGTGACGTTAAAAACGAGACAAAACATTATGTGACACATTATATTTTTATCACGTGCTTAAGACTATATGTGTACCAATTCTATGTCTCAGCTCAACTTCCCTCTTTCGTGACTTTTCCCTCTGTTCCATTGTATACATGTACATGTCAAGACTTACAATATATATAATTGATGTTTTTGCCTCTATCTTCTGTCAATACTGCTTGCTAAGGTATTCAGAAGTGCATCAACATTTAAGTCTTTTGCTGTGACCCTTTGACCAATTTACTTTTCTCCTCTCTTCTTGTACCGAGTTTTAAATTCTGTGTGTGTTCCGTCCTTATTTGTTGTTGCCTGCAGTTCTCTTCAATCTCCCTTTAGCTGGTTGTTCTTCTCTGTTTTGTGGGATCCTTGTATCTTCTTCATTGCCTTACACATTTTTGCTCTGGTCACTTGTTTATGTCTTGAACCACTTCTCTTTCTTCTCAATAGTTTGACTTGTCTGTTTGACCGCTGATCCAGCTTTCATTACCATCTTTCCCATGTGCATTTTAAGGCCTCGTTAATTCTGCATACCTTTCCACAGCTGCATATTTTCCTTTATTCAAAGCCGCTATCATTGCTTGTAGTTTCCTGATTATTTGTCTCTACAGGTTGCTTATCCCCCATCGCCCGTGCGCGACCTCCGGTGTCTCACTATAAATTTGTCCATAGCGTGATGAAATGGGTCCCAGGCTGCAGAAAATTTCTTTGGCCTACTGCTCCTCTGATCCCAGTCTCTCTGGCTGTCCCCTGTCTCTTTGCGTTGCGTCATCCAGACTTTCCTGACTGTCAGTAATTTCCCAAATAGAACTTCCTATATTTATCTTGGTGGAAAAGATACATAACTTTGTCTTCAGGTGGTTCCTCCAACATCAGATGATCACTATAGCCTCTAGAAGTGGATCGACTGGGGTTATGAAGTCCTAGCCCGGAACCACTTGGCTCTCCATCACTACTGTTCTCCCAGTAACTGTCTTTCCACTTGTTTGACCCCCTTCTCCACAATCACATGGATGTTATCTCTGTCTCTCTTACCAGCCTCCTCTCTGTTCCAGTTATACAAATGACTCTTAGTGCTCTCCACTTGAATGCATGGCCCTTACACAAATCCTTTATACATCCCACTTCTACTGCGGAAATCATACATTCTATACATTTAATTGTCAGTCCTTCACCACATCTTGGTACTTCAGATTTTTCTGCTCAAATGCATGAATTTTTGATTTGGTATTCCCATGGCTTGTCAGTTCCAAAAGAATTTTCTGTTTTTGTTGACACCGACCATGTGACTGTCGGGCCTCTTGCTCATGACTGCTATTTCATGTGGAAATTCTTAATAAGACTACTGTACGTAATGACACGATAGAGCATACAATTATTTATTACTGTTAGTAATAAACTTTTATGTAAATACACATCTTCATGGCATATAAATTAGCGTTTTATTAGCCTTGATGATTCTATTGTGGGGATAATATGCCTCTTTATGTATCTTCTTATTAATGTACAAAGTTCATCATTTTTGAATTTAGAAATCTGAAATAAATGCTGTATAAATATTGTGGCATTATATCTTCTCTTTTTTGGCAGAAATGTTTTATCTTTGAGAGGAAGGTTTTTGGACAAAAGTATTTCACGTCCAAATGTGAATCTCTGATGGTATGCTTTCTCCTCTTAAATTTTCAATATCAATAAATCAGTTTCTGGTGGTAATTTAAGAAAGCTACACAAGTTGAACTGATTCCAGGGCTGTCTACCACATTTCACGGGACCAATCGTCGGCAGGAAGCGTGATTTGCCGGGACTATGTATGCACTGTTGTGATGGTGATCTCTGTAATGCTGATTGCTCTTCAGCATCAAATGCCACCGTCAATAAACCAACCAGTCCAGGTATGAGTAGCTTTTGCATATCATCAGTACATAACTGAAGTTTAAAGAACTCGTTTGATCGAAAAAGTTTTTACTGTTCGACACATTTGAATGGGGGTCACAGGATTGAATCAATGTCTGAAATAGGCTGGGAATATTGATAAATGAAAAGGGTGAAGGTAACGAACTTAGATCAATCTCCTGATACAAAAAAAAAACAGGTCAAAACAAGGACTTCTGGGAACACTGGTGGTGGGAGCAGGTGCGCATAGGAGAAGCAAGAAACCCCTTTCGATCCCTTTCAAATTGTTGTAAAAGCAATGACCTAACAATTGGTATGAAAAATGTCAGTCGAAAAAAGACCGACCCAACAATAGGTTTTGTCTTAAAACTAAGTATTTGGTACTGCATAGAAACTTAAATGAGATCGACTTTCAAATCCTTTGAAATCTTAGAAAGGTTTTTAAAAAAAAAGGCGTTTGTAGATTAAGCACCCTAACACTCTTAACTTTAATCCACGTGAAAGGTCTCTATTTCTTATAGTACCTGTTTATTTTAACTACGTCATAGGATTCATTTATGAAAGAAGTAATTCTTTGAAGTCGTATAAAATGGCAATACCTCCTTTCAAGCAACCATTACGTAGAGAAATTAAAGTTTAGACAAGAATATGCAATTTTGAAAATTTAGTATTTGTTTCAATGAACGATCATTGTGGTATTTATTTGAGATTGCCATCCTAAGAAAGTCCTTGCATATAAATTATTCATTTTATTAATCTAAGGAATCACTGTCTAGTTAGTAGAATATGCCAGGGCATCAACGATAGTTGGAAACTTGGGATAATTTGCATAACGGACGAAGCCCGTTATTCATAAATTATCCCACGTTTCCAACTATCGTTGATGTCCCTGGCATATTCTACTAACTAGACAGTGATTCCATATATTTCCATTTCATTGTGAAATAAAATTGTAAATTTAGATTTTAAAAATTTAGACTAATAGGTTTAAATTACACGAGGCCTTCATGTCAATTTCAATAGTCCCCGCCCACTGACGTCAAACACAAAGACAGACGCACGAGATTTACATGCATATTAGGCCACCTTAGCTCCTGACCTATAACTTGGCGAAATTCACATTCCGGTAGAATGATCAAGAAATCAACTCAACTAACTTTCAAAGAGTTATCACAGAGGAAAAAAAAATAGAAATGGAAATATTTAATAATCATCACTGACAAATAGTTAAAGTTTATTAACCGGAACTACAAATTTAAAAGCAAGGTAATCTTCTTGACCAATTTATCTTATATCTTCACTTTGAATTGTCTGATCCAGTTTGTTTAGCGAACAGTATGACGAAGAGTGAGAGTTATCAAGAATAAAATTTTCTATTCACATTTTTTAATTTGTCAGATCAGTATGCAAATATCTCTAATATGCAGATATCTTTAATTAGAATACATGTGAACCCTTTTAAATACTCCTCCTATTTAGAACACTACAAAGGGTCATGTGTTCCGCGAGTCTGATGACAAAAAACATGACCACATTTTCTGAATTGATAATCCAGCATCATGCTGTATTATTTATGTGAGTGTTGCAACATGTATAAGTTAATTGAATGCAGCAGATTTTATAAGGTAAGTGATTCCAGCAATGTGTTTAAGTTATGTAAGGCCGTTCATCATGAAATGGTGGGAAAATGTGTCTCAAATGGGATGTAATGTTCTACCTAAAAATGTCCAACGATATTGATAATGTCATGTAAGAGGCAAGAGGCCTATTTTCGCACACAAAAAATTATTATTTATGATTTATGTAATAAATATAAGTCTTCTTTATAATGTGCATCTTTGAATCCACATTGACCGTGTTGTTTTGGTAGTTAACATATCTAGACCTTGCTTTTGTGACAAAAGTATCAAGAACTCGTGCTTAGTTATGAAGGTAAATTTGAGAAGGACTTTATGACAACGCTTAGAATCAATTCTGTGGAGGAGTCGCACATTTGACATTACTAGAAAGAGCGCTCGAATCTCGAAAATCAGATTGTAAAGAGTGCACTTAATTAAAAATCATTTTAGATATATTGACGACGTATTATCAATTAACAATAATAACTTCCATTCATATGTCGACTCGATATATTCAAGTAAGCTTGAAATAAAAGATACCATAGATTCTGACACATCTGTTTCATATTTGGATATTTTGCTAGAAAAGACGTTAATGGTAACCTAACATTGGGTAACAACCAAGCTTTATGATAAACATGATGACTTCAACTTTTCAATCGTCAGCTTCCCTTATTATATGAAGCAATAAACCTTTATCACCTGCATGTGGGGTTTATGTCTCTTAGTTGATTCGATACACAAGAGATTGCTCTACGCACAAATAATTTCTAAAACGAAGCAAGCTATTGACAAACAATTTAATGAAACAAGAATATAAACAGACTCGCTTGAAGTCATCATTTCGCAAGTTCTATGGTCGATACAATGACCTTGTCAGCAAGTACAATCTTTCATTAAGTCAAATGCTGACTGATATTTTTCATACTTATTGTTAGGCAATTCTCCACACACTGAATTGTCTACAGATTTTTCCCGATCATGACAAGGAGCATACGGCGGGTGTGACCGGTCGGCAGGGGATGCCCATTCCTACATGGCACCTGATCCTACCTCTGATGTTTTAGATGTCCATGTTTGCTCCTGATTTGCATTGTTCGAATGGACTTTTGAGCTTGAATACTGTTCGTTATCTTCATATTTCATTTTTAAAGATCAGGATTTTAACTGTTAATATAAATATGCGAAATCCTTTTACTTGGTTGAAGTCTTTCTTTAGATAAGTAGGCTAGGTTGGAAAGTAAAAGTGATTTCCCTTTTTATACAACAGTGTTGTATTGCCTTAATAAATGTAATAAATGTTATATTTTTAAAAGGATTAAAAATGTTTTAATAGTATAAAATAAAATGATAATTACCAGAAATCAAGATCAAAAGTCCAATCCAACAATACATATTGAGAGCATAGTATAAACAACCTACAACCTATGAAAACATAGAGGTTGGATCAGGCGCCAAGGCGGAGTACCTACACCCTGTCGACCGGTCACACCCGCTGTGAGCTCTTTGTTTTGATCGGGCAAATGGAAAAATCTGTAGTCAATTCAGTATGAAAATAATGGTCTAACAATTTGTTTTGAATACGTCAGCCAGCATTCAACCTAAAGGCAGGTTGTAATTTCTAAGTATATCATTGTATATTGTATTGACCATAGAATTAGCGAAAATTTGACTTTGAACATGATTTTTGATACCCTTGAAAATCAACTTATTTGTCAGTAGCTTGCCTCAATTTAGAAATTATTTCTACACAGAACATGCTCTTGCATTTCGAATCAATTGAAAGATATTAACAACATTTGCAGCTGATAAAGGTATATTGCAATACAAATAAGGGAAGTTGGCGATAGAAAAGTTGAAGTAACCACGTCAATCAAAGTTCAGTTGTTAGTTTGCCATGAATGTCTTTGTATGAAAAAGTCAGTCAAGTTGGACTTGATGATATATTGAATTTGCTGACAGATCACTGTATCGACCATAGAATTCACAAAATGCTGACTTAAAACGAAACTGTTGATATTCTTGTTTCAACTTATTTGCCAATAGCTTGACTGGTTTTAGAAATTGTTTGTACGTACAGCATGCTCTTGCGTATCGAATCAACTGGGAGACATTAACTCAATTAATTGCTGCATATATAAGAGAAGTTGACGATAGAAAAGTTGAAGTCATCACGATTATTATAAAGTTTTGTTGTTAGGTTCGATCGATCACTGTTCGTTATCTTCACCTTTTTCACTACCATTAACGTCTTTTTCTAGTAAAATATCCAAATACAAATAGTGATGGGATGTCTGTACATACGTCGTTCCTTTCGTTACGCTTGGAAGTAGCCATCCCTTATCCGCAACTAACCTTAACTTTTCCCTATTTACTACATAGTGATATATTGCATTATCATTATCTCATTATACGTTTCGATAGGACAGATATTTGGGGTTTCCCGTAGCAAAACATGGACACTGCCATTCTTTCTTGGGGGCACCCATTTCCTTTCTTCAACTCATCCTATAATTCAAATAAAATTAATGAGACTTTCAAAAAATCTTTATGACACCGTGCCATGGTGCACCTCCTATTTTACTTTCTGATCGGTCATATATTTCGGATTTCCCATAACAAAACATGGATGTTGCTAATATTTTTATGTGAGGGAAACATTTTGTGAATTCAGTGCTCAAAGTACCTCTAGTTTATTCTTAAAGTAGAAATTCTTTAGTATCTTACGTTTTTAACTGTTTTGTTCATTTTTGATATTGCGGACAAATAAATCATCACAACCGCTTTGGGTTCTGCATGTTTGAGGAGATATGAACATTAATCTGATTAATTCCCAAAAGAACCGATTTCAGTTATAAATAATCTTAACAATTTTTTGTGCTTCTTTGTTTTCAAAAACTTTATTGATCAACAAGTAATTTTATTTTAAAATTTATATAGCTATGCCTGACCACGTTGCCTTCCATGCAATAGCTTACAGTCAAGCCAGTCCTGGAGTAATTATTTTCGATCACGTGATCACAAATATTGGAAACGGATACGACAATCGCTCCGGGATTTTCACTGTACCGACAACAGGACTATATGTGTTTTCTTGGAGCATAGAGACTTATGGACAGTTGACAGAAGGTGTTCTTCTAGTGAACGGATTGCAGCAGGGAATGTCAAAGTCTGACCAAGCCTCATCATACTACGACACAACTACCTCTTTCGCCGTCCTCAACCTTACAATAAACGATAAAGTCTTGATAAGACTTAAAAGCGGACGTGCAGAAGCGATGCATACCATGTTTTCTGGCTGGTTGCTAAATAAAACAGGTGTGTTAATCTAACTCTTTGAAAAAAGGGAAAACTAGAGCATTTATATTTCATACTCCTTGTAAAATCTTTATTTCGTATTTAGTGCCTCTAAACATACTAAATATACAAGTCTTGATTAGACTCAAAACGGACGTGCAGAAGCGATGCATACCATATTTTCTGGCTGGTTGCTAAATAAAACAGGTGTGTTAATCTAACTCTTTGAAAAAAGGGAAAACTAGAGCATTTATATTTCATACTCCTTGTAAAAATCTTTATTTCGTATTTAGTGCCTCTAAACATCTAAATATACATGTTCATACTAACCAACTGTATAAATGGCCTAACGGTTTTAGTATATATATATAGCTGAGAGTGTTTGCATATCCATTGGTTTTATATATGTTCAGTGTCTGAACGTAAAGAATTGCCCCAGTCTTGTTTCTTTTGTTTTTAAAATGATTCCCATTAATATAGTTTTATAATCAGGTATTTCACAATCAACGGATTCATGTCCTGGCTAAAATCGAGCATAAGATGAGTAGCAACTTTGTTTTTTTCAATAAAAATTGTCGTACAAAGGAGTATATCAGCAACTGGAAAAAGAGATGCAATATTCTGATTTTAAATAGAAAGAGTTTTGAAAGTTTTCTTTGTAATAGTTCAGATAAGCTTACTGAATGGAGAAGATGCTTTGTTATATCCTCAGTGCAAACATTGGTTGTCTTTTGTTATATAATACACCCTCTGTCACCTATGATATGATTTGTTTTCGTAATGTGATCCCATAGGCTGGAAAGGGATTATTTTGTAATGACCCCAGGGTTGGTTGGTAAACCTCAAGGGTTGTTCGTGGTGATCTTCGACAGGGTTTAGTTTTTGATGATCGTCCCCAGCGGTTTGTAGTACGTATGTAGTGACCGTCCCCATGGGTTGATTTGTGGTGATCGTCCTAGGGTTAGTTTATTGTGATCTTCCCCAAGGGTTTGGTTTGTGGTGATCGCCCCAGCGGTTTGTGTATCGTGATTGTTCCCCAGGTATAAGTTTGTGGTGATCGTCCCTGGGTTGGTTTATTGTGATCGTTCCAAATATTGGTTCAAAGTAAACCCCAGATTACGTATGTAGTGACCGTCCCCAAGGTTTGATTTGTGGTGATCGTCTTAGGGTTGGTTTATTGTGGTTTTCCCCCAGGGTTTGGTTTGTGGTGATCGTCCCCAAGGTTTGGTTTGTAGTGATCGTCCCCAAGGTTTGATTTGTGGTGATCGTCATCAGGGTTGTTTTTTGATGATCATTTTCAAGGTTTGGTTTGTGGTGATCGTCCCCAGGGTTGATTTGCAGTTAACTCCAAATATTGGTATGATGTGATCGTCCCCAGGCTTGGTTTGTGGTGATTGTCCCCTAGGTTGTTTGTAGTATTCGTCAACAGAGATTGGTTTGTTGTGATCATGCCGGGTTTCTGTTTATCAACAGCGGTTAGTTTGAAGTGAAACCAGGGGTTGAACATATTGGAGCTTTCACAGGCACTTTACGTTGATATCTTTCTTATCACAAAAGTACCTCTTACCTAATAAATCACAAGACTTAGCGTAATTTATTAGGTAGGAGATGTTATTTGTGATAAGAAAAAAGCTTATACAGTAAAACGTAGTTATGAGGAAGTCGCTGGGGTTCGAATTTTACTCCCTTATAACCGAGATTCTTTATGCCCGACAAGTCGCCATGGGGACTCATAGAAAAGTCCTAATAACCGAGATCTCCTTCTAACCGAGCTTACTGTGTAACGCTAATTGCAAGGTCCTCTTACAGTCAAACCGTGATTTCTGTAAATAAACATTCACTAATTATGCTAGATACAGGATTATTTTTGCCCGCATTATTTTCGCTCAACCACATATAAAAATGATTTGCTTTGTTTAAATTTTTAAATTAAATACTTACTTGTGTTGAATTTGCCTAATGACGAAAATAAATGGGATTTTAAAAAAACGGGATGAAAATTTTACAACATAGAGTATTACATATTCATTGCTGTCTTTTGTGATTTCTGTCCTCTTTTTTATTGCTGAAAAGGTTCTTCTCCCTTTTTCAGATAGCACAGCATTTTACACTTCCCTTTCGCATGATGTAACTGGTTCTCACATATACTTTAACAACGAGATCCTAGACACAGATAATGCTTACTCCACATCTAACGGGAACTTTGTGGCGCCTCGTTCTGGACTTTACGTTTTTATGATGTCAGGACTTATCTATGGAAGTTACGAGTTTAGCTGCAAGTTTCACTTCAGTAACAGTCTTTCTCAGCCGGATGTTTGGGTGGATTCGAGTAGCGGACAGTACGACAGCAGCAGTTATATGGCATTTGCCTGGTTGAACTCTGGTGACTCTGTGTATGTATACGCCAGTAGAATGGTGACCACCTCTGTGTTCGCTGGATGGCAGTTGATCGATGACAGAAGCGGTAACTCAATCATGTTGAATCGAAATAAATGAAATATAAAGCATACAGTGGTATTTGGAAATGAACAATCTCAAAGTAGAGTTTAGGTTTTTGGTAAATTTAATTAATTTTATTCATTCAAGATTTATTCAAAATCTAAATCAGAATGATATAACTTTGAATTTTGTCTATTTTTAACTTGATGTTTGAGGTGTAATCACCCTCTGCTTTAATTTCAATTTTTTTTTTTTTATTTTCAAACATTGATTTTTATCAACAACAGCATTAGACTGACTTGAAAAATGTATGAAGTAGTGCTTATTTATTTTCAGAATTTCATGTTTAACCACGATATGAAGAAAATATAACACATTGCAGAGGAGCAATAATTTATTATATCAAATACCATATCTTGGTTAAAATTTCTCTTTTTTCTGGAAAGAAGATTGATTGATTGATTCTATGTTGTTTTACGTCCCAATCGAGAATTTTTCACTCATATCGAGGCGTCACCATATACCGGTGAAGGGCTTCAAATTTTGACCTTTACTCGGCACTCAGGGCCATTGAGCAGTGGGGGATCTTTATCGTACCGACGCCTGCCGTGACACGGGGTCTCGATTTTTAAGGTCTCATCCGAAGGACCCGCAACTTTCAAGTGCCGAGCGCATGGCGAAGGAACAGTTGCTACCCATTTTTTACAATAGGTCAGTCGCGGCCGAGATTCGAACTCACGACCTCCCGATCACGGAGATGGAAAGAAGAAATATAAAATGCACGTATTTTCCACAAAAATTAAATATGCTAATAAGAACTATAATATGTTGTTTTTTTTTTGCACTGATAATATAAATAATATGAACCAATATGAATAATATGAACCAGTATTGATAATATGAACCAATGACTGGTTTAATTTGCAGTTGAGGCAAGGCTTTTTATTTGTAATTCATTTTTCAGGACAAACAAGTCAACTTTGACTAAAATCCTCCAAAATTTAACATTTGATTTCCTTGTTTGAGAGAATCCTACACTGCTGTTAAACTTCGATAATTTAACAATAAATCAGATTTGTATATAGGGAATATGCTGGAAATTGTCATATTTATGTTGAATGACTTCAAACTTAATCAGGGGATTCTTCAATAAAAATCACTGTTCGTGACCACATAATTCTGGATATCTGGATATGCATTGTGTTTTTCGTGTGTTACTTTCATACCCGCACTTTCTAAAGAAAATTCGGGTATATCGTTGTTGCCCTGGTCCGTCCGTTCATCTGTCCATCCACGTGTCACACTCTCTTCTTCCTCAAACTACTCTTACATTTTAAGCAGTATCCAACTCTTCTTTTGGATTAATTTGGAAGTGCCTTGAACAAGTGCAAAAAGATTTTGAAGTTTTCATTTTCCCTCCTAGGGGCCAAATGGGGATAAAAAAAAACCCAGTCCGCTGACATTTGCTGTACCATGCCCCAGGGCCATCCCTGATCTTTCATCTCCTTTTCCACTGAACGTCGGCATGTCTCCCTTTAGTCGCCCTCTGTTTCACTTTTCTGGTGGTGTCCATCTTAAGGCTACCTTGGTATATCTGATGTTTCCATTCTCAGGACATGACCAATCCATTTCCATCGTTTTTCTTTGATCTGGTCGGAAATGGCAGCTGTTTGTGTTTTTTCATAAGCTCCTCATTACTGATCTAGTTTGGTCAGAATATCTTGAATATTCTAAGTCATCTTGTTTGGAAGATACATGTATCTAGTTTTTGAGTAATGTTGTTTTTCACCTTCCAGGACTCAGATCCATAGAGGAGGACTCCAATAACATTTGTTTTGAATATCCTTATTTTGGTTTTGGTTCAGATAATTGAAGATTTCCAGATGTTCCGTAGGTTTGCAAAGGTGGCACAGGCTTTGCTATTCTATTTTCAACGTCCTTGGTGGAATCCCCATTGGCTGTGATCTTGCTGCCAAGATATATAAAATTGTCTACTTCTTCTATGCTGTTGTTTTTGCTGTAACTTCCTTATCTATCTTAGTATTTATCTTCATTAACTTTGTTTTGTTTACATTTATATATAGTCCAATTTGTCTGCTTTACTTGACTAGGTCATCAGTTTTGCTTTGGATATCCTTATATCGCTGTGCTAGTAAAGCTTGTTTAGCTTGTTCTGGTGATGGACATTCCTGGTTTAATACTGTTTCAAAGTGATTTTTCCAACAGGTAAGCTCTTCTTCTATGCTGGAGGCCAATTCCCCATCTTGTTTTCGCTTTGGTGTATCTGTGCTTTTGAATCCTCCACTAAGAGTTTTCGTGATGCGATAAAAGGTCCCCATGTCTTGTATTGAGGCAGCGTCTTCTGCATCTTGTGCAAGCTTGTCAACATAATCCCTCTTGTCCCTTCGTGCACTTTTCTTAACTTCTTTATCGTGTACTGAGTATGTTTCTTTTAGCTGGTCTTTTAGTCTGGCTGACTTGGCTGTTAGTATTTCCTTCTTTGTTTTAGCATCTTAGTTCAACCAATTCCCAGGTCTTAGATGATATCCATTCTTCCTTCTTTTTTTTCCTTTTCAGCCCCAGAGTTTTCTTTCCTGCGTCAACAAGTGTGGTGTTGAATTGTTCAATACCGATTTCTTGTTTATTTTTTTAGGATGGTAAATCGGTTTTTAACCTCTAGCTGAAATGAATTCATGACCGTGGGGTCTTTGAGTTTGCTCACATCCACTTGATGTGACCGTTGTTCCCCCTTTTTTTATCTTTCTCAATTTCAATTTCAGCTTTACTAGGACCAGAGTGTGGTCACTTCATATATCAACCCCTCTCAATGCTTTTACATCCTGCAATGTTCCTCTCAACATCTTGTTTATCAGTACATGGTCAATTTGGTTCTTAGTGTGACCATATGGTAAAGTCCTTGTTAGTTTATGAATGTTCCTGTGTTGGAAGATGGTGCCTCCAATAATTAACTTATTTTCTTGGCAGAAATCTACTAATCTACTTCCATTGTTGTTTATCACACCACAGCCATATTTTCCCATTATAGATTCTTTTCCTTCGTTGTTGGGGCCAACTTTTGCATTGAGATCACCCAATATGAGAAGTACATCATGAACTGGTGTTTGCTCCTCACCTCTCTGCAGTTTTTCATAGAAGGAATCCTTTTCTTCTTCTTTGTCTTCTGTAGGTGAGTAGCAGACTACAACAGTCAGTTCAGCATAATTTGAATGGAATCTTGCAGAAAGAAGTCTGTCGCTGAACGGTTTCCAACCTAACAAGAACTTCCCTAGTTTCCTACTGAATACTAAGCCTACACCACTGATTTGCTGTTCATCGTTTCTTCCCGAGTAAAGAGTCTGATGGCCAGTGGCAAGTTTAATTACAAGCCCCATTTCCTGTCCATCTAGTTTCACGTGTTTCTAGAATTTAGATGTTATACCTGTCCATATCCTTTAAAACTTTAGCCAATTTTCCTGTCTGGTAGAGGGTGCGGAAAGCAACCAACTCTACATACGTCTTTAGGGTGGAGGATGTTCACTATCTGGATGTCAGTTTTCTGCGCTGGGTTTGACTGCCATCCTTCATGTGTTTAGTTTCCTAAATAGTTTCCACCCTTTCCTTGGTACTATTATCCTCGGCTTTGGTTTCTGTAGCTGATTTTGACATGTGTTGCTGACCCTGAGCAACACGGAGGACCAGTGGTTTTCTGTCAGGGTTTTCCTTCCCTTAGGTCACAAGTTCCAGTTATCTAAAGACGCTGGAGACTCGCCTTTTACCTCTGTCACTCAGCTGCCATGGCATTTCCAGGGTCACCAAAACGAGGAGGTGTGACAAGTGACTTGCTGGCAGAACCTATTTGAGACGGTGGGCATTAACTCGAAGTTTTATTGGTGAATCTCCGTGACCAAAGAAACATCCCTCGAGACCCTCACCAGCATTTGACCCCAATTCGTACTAGCCCATTCATATATGGAATATGATCGAGAGGTTTCCTGTACATGTGCAATAAGGTTTCGGAATTTCGATTTTACCCCGGGGCTTTAGGGGTAAAAACAATGAAGTTTTTCTTTTTAAAAAAACTGGTTCCCTGAACTCGTCTTACATTTTTAGCTCACCTGAGCTGAAAGCTCAAGTAAGCTTTTCTAATCATATTTCGTCCGTCTGTCTGTCTGTCTGTCCGTCCGCCTGAAAACTTTAACATTTTCGACTTCTTCTCAAGAACCATTAGGCCAATTTCAACCAAACTTGCCACAAAGTATGTTTTCGGAAAAGGGGATTCAAGTTTGTTTAAATGAAGGGCCACGCCCTCTTCCAAGGGGAGATAATTACAAAATTAGTGAAAATGTATGGCATCATTTAAAAATCTTCTTCTCAAGAACCACTGGGCCAGAAAAAGGTAAAACTTATATGGAAACATCCTCAGGTAGTGAAAATTCACGTTTGTTCAAATCACGACCCCCGGGGTAGGGCGGGGCCGCAATGGACGATCAAAGTTTCACATAAGAATACATTGGAAAAATCTTTTAAAATCTTCTTCACCAGAACTACTGGGCCAGGTAAGATGGAACTGATGTGTACACATCCTCAGGTTGTGTAGATTCAAGTTTGTTCAAATCATGACCCCCAGGGGTAGGACGATCAAAGATTTACAAAGGAATGCAAAGGAAAAATCTTTAAAAATCTTATTTTCAAAAACAGCAATGCCATGATTGGTCATAGGTAGGGGCCACAATGAACCATTAAAGTTTTCCATCTGGAATACATAGGAAAAATCTTCTCTAGAACAGCAGAGCCATGATTGGTCATATTTATATGGAAGCATCCTCAAATAGTGTAGATTTAAGTTTGTTCAAATCATAACCCCCGGTATAGGTGGGGTCATAATGGATGATCAAAGCTTAACATAGATGTACATTGTAAAATCTTTAAAAATCTTCTCAAGAACAGCTAAGCTATGGTTGGTCATATTTATACAGAAGCATCCTAAGGTAGTGTATATTCAAGTTTGTTCAAATAATGACCCCTGGGGTAGGGTGGGGCCACAATAGAAGATAAAACTTGTATGAAAAAAATCTTTTTAAAATCTTTTAAAGCCATGATTTATCAAAGAAATATGGTAGCACCCTAAGTTAGTGTAGATTCAAGTTTGTTCAAATAATGCCCCCCCCCCCCCTTTGGGATTGGTTTATACCACTCATAAAATACCGACTCATAGCCAAAGTGCTCAAGTGAGCGATTTGGCCCATGGGCTTCTTGTTTGCAGTAGCCAAATCATCTTTTGGAAAATGATTGCTGGTGTCCTGTAGATGTGCCATAAGATTTCAGAATTTTGATTATCACTGTGGGGGCCAAATGGGGGCAAAAAGATGTTTTCTATTTATTTATTTTATTTTATTACAAAAAACTGGTTCCCTGAGCTCGTCTTGCATTTTGTTTTTGCACAAATAATTAACAACTTAAAGTTACATTACAGGGTTTTCCCTGAGACCCGGGGAAATTCCCCGCCTATAATGATATAATCCCCCGGTTAATTTAATATTCCCCCTAAACTCCCCACTAGGGGAGGAATCCTATACCCCTTCTACTTTTTTAATGTCCCTTTCTATTTCAATTCTTAGGGACAACCCTGCATTATCTTAAACTGGGGGGGGGGGGGGAGGGGGGTGTTTTATGTTAACATTTTTATCCCTCTTCAGACGTACACTACCATTGTTTTGTTATAAAACACTATCACTTTTCAATGTATTTTTATTCATTTATAGTGTCAAAATCAACGTATCCAGCTTTCCTTGCTCATCTAGGCAGTGACTCTTCCAGAACTCCAATTGTTTATGGTTCAACTCATGGCGGATATCACTATGGTTACTCAACAAGTACGGGAGTATTCACTGCCGATCGTGATGGATTGTATTTGTTTTTGTTTAATACAGAAGGTGACGACCAAATAGTGCGTACTGCACTGAGAGTCAATGGAGTGGAAAAATTCGAAACGAGATCGGACGGACGCCATTCTGGTTATGACGACACCGCCGCTGTTACTGTGCTTCAGTTATCTTCAAGCGATCGTGTCTCTATAGGAGTTAAATCTGGGACAGCTGATAGTGGGCAAACGCTATTTTTTGGCATACTTCTCTCTGAAATGTGACTTTTTCATATGAAATGACATTTTTTTGAGATGGAATTATAAATTTTGAGACTTTGTCTTTGTGCATTTATTTGTAAAATAATATATTAGTGGCTGAACTACGCAAAGAGCATCAAATTGATAAACTGTAGTCGGTTTTAAGAGATTTAAACTGTCATTATTTGTTTATTCAGTGGGTCATTTCGAAAAAAAAATATTACATTTTTTTTTTAATTTATGCAACACAAATATAAACAAACATCTTCCTATAGAGATTTAAATTGTCAATATTTGTTTACCAAGTCGGCCATTTCGAAAAGGAGAAGATTACATTTTTTAAAATTTATGCAACACAAATATAATTAAAGTTAATAAACATCTTCATATATATATATATATATATATATATATATATATATATATATATATATATATATATATATATATATATGAAGTATAGAGATAAAGAACAGTATTCAAGCTCAAATTCCATTAAAACAATACAAATCGGGAGCAGAGCAAACACAGACCGCCACTCCAAAAACATCAGAGGTGGGATCAAGTGCCATGGAGGTGTGAAAATCCCTTGCCGAGCAGTCACACTCGCCATGTGTTCCTTGTCATGATCGGGGAAAAAAACGGGAAAATCAGTAGACATTTCAGTGTTAAAATAATGGCCTAACAATTAGTATGAAAAACGTCAGTCAGCATTTGTTATAATGATAGGTTGTATTTGCTGACAAAGTCATTGTATCGACCATAAAACTTGCGAAATGATGACTTCAAACGAGAGTGTTGATATTCTTGTTTCATCAACTTGTTTGTCAATAATTTACCTCGTTTTAGAAATTGTTCGTACGTAGAGCATGCTCATGCGCATCAAATCAACTGGGAGACAAAAACCCCATATGCAGGTGATAAGGGTACAATTGCTACATAACTACATATGTAAAGGAAGTTAACGATTGAAAAATTGAAGTCATCATGTTTATCATAATGCTTTGTTGTTACGTTACCATTAATGTCTTTTTCTAGTAAAACTAGATGAAATCCCGCGCAAGCGCGGGGAATTGAATTTATACCACTACAGACTGAAAATATATTATAGTTTCTACTGACAGCCTACAGACTTATAGCAGGAAGAAATATTTTGTTCAAAATCCCGCATGAAGTAGATGTACGTCTCCACCCCAACCCCCAACCCCCCTTTTTAAAAACTCGAAAAATAACAATTTCATTAATTGACGTTTATTGTGAAACCTGTGTTATGGACATTGAACTTCAGATGCTCTTATTTCATTTCCGTCAAGGATAAAAGCAGCGAGTATGCACATTTTACTGATTAATTGATTTTGGGGGGGGGGAGGGGGGGGGAATTAACAGGTACTTGGGTCTTGGCTTATAAACATGTTTGTACCTTATTGATACGTAAAAAAAATGTACTTTATTTACTTTTCCTTTTTTACATATCAATAAGGTACATACATATTTATAAACCAAGACCCAAGTACCTGTGTAAAAATGAGCTTTTAACGCCCTATGAATAGGCCGAGTATTTGATACAAAAGACTGTATTCAGAAAAAAAAAAGAAGGAATGTATTGATTAAAGCACAGAATTTTACATCTTTAATTGTATTTGAACAATATCTTATTCATTTTTTTTTTTCTTTTCATGTAAGCAAGTTTATTACGAAGTGCAAATTGCGCTCCGGGTTCGTTGCCATGATGCCCTCAGTAAGGAATATAGCCTATACAAATTTTGCCGATAAATCTATTAGGAAAACCTACTACATACATGTATATATAATAGTCTTTCGATATATAAATATATTCACAACTAACAGTGTTATCAATGATTTACCATTATTTCAATGACTATTCACACAAAAGCTTTTTTTAGTTATGCAGTAGTAGATCTAATCGCCTCGTTTTTCTTTTTAACATCGGGCTCGATGCTATATGATGTTCTAGAAGCTTCCGTCAATATTAAGATCGGTGAATGACGAAAATAATTTGAACGTTTCCCTTTTTAATCGGTTATCACAACTTATTTCTTTTATATCATTTAAATTAAGTTTTGATTGAATAATTCAGTGATGACGTTTTATGAAATAAATAAACGATTGCTTGTTGTCAGTGTCATTAAAAATTGCCAGTAACTTAGATCCGCCAACCGGAAACGCCACCGTACTCACGTTTTTGCTATTTCATGGCTGTTTATAGAAATTGAAAGTAGACTTTTGATTTAATGTACGATACTTACTATGCGAATGAAATCTAAATATAGTTTACGGACATCATCTTGTATCTAGTTTATTGTTAGAGGGGTAAGTAAAAACTCTGGTGCACCCGTTTCGGAGTTTATTTGCAAAATTTATTAATTTATAAGTATAGATATGAAACAGATGTGTCAGACTCTGTGGTATCTTTTACTTCAAGCTCACTTGGATATATCGAGTCATTATTTGACGTCGAAAAATGACCCTTTTGCCTGTAGAAAATGTGGCATCACCCTTAAAATCTGCATACCCTACGTGAAGAAAAATGACTCGTACACGAAGTATACCAGTACGATACGCTATGGTATATCGACCCTGTTTGACAAAAGCGTTTCTACAGTAAAAGACAAAATACAATCCCCCATACATTATTTGTGTGTAGAATATGTTTATCCTACGTTTGTGCACTTATGACCTGTTATCGGATTTGCAATTGGTGCAGTAGATGGAATGAACAACAGCAGCTTTATTTTTCTAACCATCGACAATATCATTCGTTATTACTGATAACTAGAGGCTTATAAGATTTAGTGAGTTTGGATTTCCAGATCATTTAAATAATGCACATCAATTTGCATGCCTTTCTCAAAATGCTGGACGCGTTTTACTCTGAGACATTTTCCCCCAAACAGGTACACTATTTTGACTCCATACTTGAAAGGTGAAAATGTTACCCCTGGCTTGCGGCCTCGGGTAACATTTTTACCTTCAGGTACAACAAAGCATATGTTGCCCTCATACTCAGTAAACAAGCATTCTGAGAGTATTGCATTAGCAATACTAGTCCCCTACCGGCAAGCGTAATCTGGTTCCTGTTAAGAATTGAAAATGCCATAATTCCTTCAAAAATCAATGAAGCGGAACGAAATACAAACTCGATCTATAACTAATCAAGGTAAAGTCACATAACAAAAATCAGCTTAATATCTGAAAGCGTTTAGAAGAAAATTGCGGAAAGCCCTTGAAAATTGAAAAGGCCGTAATTCCGTCAAAAATCAATGAAGCGGAACGAAATGGAAACTTGATCTGTAATTCATCAGATACACTTACAAACAAAAAATCAGCTCAATATCTGCAAGTGTTTAGGAAAAAAGTGCGGAAAACCAAGTGGGACAGACTGACAGACAGACGGACGGACAGACTCAGAAGAAACCTATAGTCCCCTCCGGTTTCACCGGTAGGGGACTAATAACTGTATAATATTTACAAGGAAATCTTTGTCATTATTTTATTTTCACCCTTGTCGCCAGTGGGCGAATTAAAGACGGAACAAAATTGTTTGCTATTGTAAAAGGGCAAAAATAAAACGGGGCGATATTATCATTATATACAGTATATGATATCTGATTCTACTTCAAAAAGTAGTTAGCCATTTTCCCTAAAATTCTCGAAGTCCGCCTTCCCTATCCGAATCGGCTGTCGCCGCAATATTCCTTTAGGGAGTGCGTAATACATGTATATTGAACAGAAGGTCATTTCTAGGTTAAATTCAACTTTTCTTCTTTCTTTGACGTTTTGGGGAATAGCTCTGACAGCATTGATCTTAATTTTCACAATAAAGAGACTTGATACTCTTCAGTGACATCTTTAAATGTGGTTTAATTAGACTGTGGATGGTTAGATAGGGCAGATATTACCTATATCCCTCCTGGTGTGAAATAGCCTACATAGACAAGGGCAAAGATTAAATATAGAACATAGATGGAAATAGTATAACCAGGTAGATTTTGGTTGTGTTGATTCCTGGACAGTATCATGTGTTTCCGTGCAAATAGGGAAGGGGGAATGTTGAGTAATAAAGCAGCGGCGCTATGAAGCCGTAATGAAAAGTCAAGGAGAAAGGTGCCGCATTCCCCATGATCTTCCAATATAGGACGAAAGAACTGGTGAAATTATGTTTCCCAATTTATTGTAGATAAAGACGTTGGCTAATAACAATCAGTATGAATTTTAAGGATAGTTTTACGAGTCAAATCGAGTCTAAACATGTAGAATGGACGCAGCTTTTTGTAAGATATTCAATTCAATTATGCCACCAGTTGAGTTAACTTGATAAGCAGATGTGCATCTTTGATAGAACGTACATGAAAAAAATTACTAAATTATTATACAAACAAGTTATTGATACAGGAATTAACAGGTCCTGAGGCATTAACACCTAATGAGTATTAATTCTTTTGACTGAGTCACTTAGTGTCAACTGACACAAATTAATCTGGCTTCAAAAGGAGTGAGACTTATATAATTCAAAGTATACTCAATATTATAAAATATAAACACAGTGCTAAAAGACGAAGAATTTCGTGTGTGTGTGTGTATTAATAAAGAAAATAATAATAAAAAGAAAACAAAATTTCGGAGAGGTGGTCCTATCTTTTACCCTCTTTGGATCAGCTTGTAAACTTCCAATCGTAACTCTAGATCTTATTGTGTATGTTTCATCGAATCTTTTAACAGTACAAAAAAAAATATGTTGAAAGATAACGTTTGCTGTTCGATAATGCGATATATCTATACCTTTCAAGACTATATATATATATATATATATATATATATATATATATATATATATATATATATATATATATATATATATATCAAGGCCGTAGGAACCGGGGGGGGGGCGTGCCCCCAATAATTTTGCCGATATATAGAATACTATAAAAAATATAGGTACTATACAATAATAACGTTTGATGCCCCCCCCTTTTTTTTTTTTTTGCTTGTCAAGGAATTTTTGGTAGTTGATAGTGCCCCCCCCCCAACTGAAAATGAATGGTTGTGCCCCCCCCCCCCAAACTGAAATTGCTTCATACGGGCCTGTATATATATATATATATATATATATATATATATATATATATATATATATATATATATATATATACGACCACTTGCTCCTCCCCAGATAGACCGGGAGTAGGTGTGATCATTTAAGGTTATTATTAAAGCAAATACACTGTATATCACAGAAAAAATATTACTCTTCTTTTAACAGTTTAAGGCGTTTTATTCATATCATACTAGCAAGGTGTGTGTACATTTTCCGGAATAATTAATCCATAGCAGTGGTTGCAAGGGCTTGGTATGACAACGACTAACAGATGACAGATAAATGTTTTGATTCATTTTTGTTCAAATTTGTTGGATTTTTAAAATAACTAATTTTAAAAAAGTAAAAAAAATCTTTTGAAAGATTAACTTTTAGGATATCAAAATTTTTTATGGACCATTGCCAAAGTACTTTTGTTATTTGTTCGTTTAATAGGTGTGCTAACAATTTAAATAAATAAAGAAAAATGAATTTAAATCTCGACACACGGGCTGTTAAATAGAATGATTGCACTAATAATTAGATTTCGTCTTCAGTTTGGGTCTTTAATTTCCATGCTGAATACAGTCACATTCAACTGTACTTACCTCCAATTACCTACAAGGGACGTAAATTTACCTCTGTCCTATTGAGAGGCCTTTTGTGTACAACATCTGGACATGTGGATTTCAGTCCTCTGTAGTCCACCAGGTAAGACGTACAGGTAAGATATTCATACCTACAAAACAATCAGTGAAATCTTTTTAATTCTTTAATAATATTATTATTTTTTAAATTTGTATAAACATGTTCGATAATTATAAGGCGGGTTGATGTTGTATTTAAGTGCAATGTTGCCGAATGAATTGGGGCTTTTAGATTTAAAAAAAAAAAAGAAGAAGAAAAGAAACATAAAAAAATCAAAGCCTGGAAAACAATCAAACAAGTACTTAAGCCATGAAGTAAATGGGATCTTTTTTTCAAAATGCTTTGATATATGTATACATGTATGTTGTAGTGATTGCTATCATTTTTTTCTGCTCGTCTTTAAACTGTACAACAAGATAAGTCTCTGTCCTAATTTAAAAAAAAAAAATCTTTATGTAAATAAATCTACCAGATAGATAGACATGATATATATTATGCTGTACGGTAGATATTCAAGTTAGTTGCGATGTATTTAAAATTAAACAGCTTTAAGGCTATATGAAGCGTAAACATAATGTCTCTTTACTTCTCGCATTATTATAATTATGCACATATAAAATCCCTGAGTTTATGAAGAGTTTTATTAATGTAAACGACACACGCTTGATGAGTTTTCGTACAGTGCTAATGGTCTTCTTTATGAGGCGCAGGTGGAAATTTTGTGGCACAATGAATATACATGTATAACCTATGGAGTCTGTCGCATTATATTAATAACAGCAGCTATGAACATTAAAAATGTACACATAGACAAGGAGAATTCGTCCTCCCCAGTTATAAAGCTGTCATCTAGTTTGCTTAATGAGGATTGAACAATCCAAAATATAAAATAGCTAGATCACTTCTAAGAGTTTGTTTACTCTTCCAATATTCAAACACATCAAGTTTATTTATTATCTTTTTATTGACAAAAGTATGTAAATCAGGCAACACAGTCCTTTGTCCAGGAATAAAAAAGAGAAGATGAAAAATTGTCGACAAGTGTAACTGGCCATTAGTCTCCTTGTAGTTAAGCCACTGAGTAGGATTTTCCGTTGAACAATAACCTAAGAATTTTTCACTCCATCGTTAGTCTGTTTTGTAAATACAGAAAACACACATGAAAGGAGTAAGTTCTAATTTGTTTCAAATACTAAAGATTCTACATTTCGAGGTGATAGTTCTTGGGAAAAGGGCGCTTAGTGAATTTCTTCAAATTACTTTAGAAAACAAGTAAGTGATAATCAGGAAACGGAGTATGGCTTCCATTTCTGTTGTCTCCCACGCTTATTGTAAGTATGTCAGGTAGCGGTAGATCTGAAGCTCGCCTGTTTGAAAAAAAAATGGGATGGATGACCAGAGATTTTATTCCTCACAAAAATGTGAGCAATGTTCGAGGTTTATATTTCCATTGTAAAGCCACCATGCATTTCAAAATATTACTAAATGTGTGTTCGTAACATATGTGGTATTTTTTTACTGCTTCTACATCAAAACATTCCCCATTACTGTTGTTAATACCTCACTTACGCCATTGAAAATTTTTGAAAAGTACTGCCATTTTGGGTGGTATGACAATATGTTTCAACCCACTTCCTGCATGATTTGTAAACATTCATACATACAGTTCGATCGCCAACTGTTATTTGCAGTCTTATCTTTAGAGACCTTATTGATAGTTTTGTGACAAAAACAAATATTTACCCAATTTATGGAGGACTGGAATTTACAGATATTTGGTGTGTATACGTCGATGTATAAGTTCAGATTTATATATTAATATCGGGAATCATTATATATTTTATTTACTTCAACTGTATGATTTTGCTATTGAAATTGCTTTTAATCAATAAAAAAGGTCGAAATTGTGAATTGCAATTAAGGATTCGAAAAATTGTAACCACAAACAAAATGTTCAAATCTAAAGGTTCTGTCCTAACTTTCCTAACTGTATTATGCTTGTGTATAGGGGGGGGGGGGGAGGGGGGGTCTTTTATATACCAAATTTTGAAAGTTTTAAATTTAATTTGTATGTTACAATTACACATGTACAAATTTAAATAGAAAAGTTCTAATCTTGGATGAGGACATTCATAACAAACAAAGATTATAGTATAAATGCTTGGAAATCTTTTTAAAAGGGGAGTCTAATCAATTTCATTGTTTATCATACTATTTCTTATTGCTGTTGACATAGTCTCAACGAAAATTCTGCCCCTCTTAAGCAGGTATATTATTTTGAATTTTGCTAAACTATTATTATGTTTGATTAAAACCAGAGGGTCTATGTCTTAAAAGGTTGAAAAATATCAAAACACTTTTTAATGGAATAATTCAATTTTAGTCTTAATAAAGAAGATGGGTGAACAAGGCGTGCAGAATGCCTATAGCTTCAGTTATTAAAAAAATCATATTCAATTTGTGAATTAAGTATTTAAAGTAAAGTTCTCATTATTGAAATTTATGAAATTATGATCAACAAAACTTTTCTGAGAAAAAAAATCTCGGAAAAATTATTCTTTTATTAAAAAAATAAAATAGTTTTCGTGGGATTCGAACCCCTAACAATAAAAATCCGGAGTATCATATTGCTTTGAGACTAACACGGTACCCACTACGCTACACAGCTCCTGATGAATAGGGGCATTTAAATCATGATTGTGATATGACCCTTGATTTTATGGACTTAAGTATCTTTCGGAAAGATGCGAATGCTTTGTCAAAGAAGTGTACTTTTAATGTATAGTGGGTCTTTGCTCCATTTTTTTGTAAACCAAAAAATGCATATTTTTATGCAAACTTTTAGGATTAACTTTCAAAAAAATGGAGCGAAGACCCACTCATATAGAAAAATTTTGTTAAAGTGTGAGAAAATGACCCTTTTTGTCCTCTTAAGTGTGTGTATGCTATTTTGTAGGCAAATAATTTCAGTCTTTGTGAGATTTTTGTAAATTATAGAGAATTTACATAAAGTATACTTTAATTTTAGATGAAATATCAAAGAAATTTTGGATATAATTGAGATTTTATTTTTCACTTCATGTTTGTCGCACTATAGGCATTTCGCCCGCCTTGTTCACCCATCTTCTTATTATCAATACGCTGTTTTTATTATGGTTTGAAGACTTTATCATTTCCAGCTTCTTTACCTTATAATCAAGCTTTACCACCTGTATTCGTGAATTATTAATGACTTGATGTTTATCTTTACAGTGAAAGCATAACCCGGTCAACTTGAGGAATAACCTATCCGTTGTGCGGTACAGAGGATGAAAAGTGTACCTACTGTATTGTACACATGATGGACTTAAGTAGTTTTGTTGTGAAGTTGAGAGGAGAGTTTTGTTAAAATATACATTGTATATGAAAACCGTCATCATGGGGGCTGTTTCCAGGGCGACCTTGGTGCAAGTGACCACGGACATTACAGTGTTTATAATAGGTAAATGTATTATAAAACTATTATTATTATGTATGCATGTATATGGACTTGATTACAAATATGAATTCATATCACATAAATCCTCAAATTATTTCTTATAGTATTACACTGTGCAGTAAGTGGTATTTTACATAACTTACTATCTTCTCAGCAATGCAGTGGATTTATTTTTCAGTGACAATATTTGCCCTGCTATTATCTTTCAACAAACTGACAGCAATACAGCCCTACATCCGGGGATTTTTCTGCGATGATCAAAGTCTGATGTATCCGTATAGAGATGACTCTATTTCCACTATTACAACCGCCATCTTGTCGCTACTTCCTCCAACTATCATAGTAATATTTGTCAGGCACTACTTAGCTTCGCTTCAAAACTTTAAAACATTTGTTTATAATAATTTTATTTCATACCCATAATTAAAAAAAAAATTGTTTTTGACTTTGTTCAATTTTTTAGATAAAATTTTGGCTTCACAAATATGGAATTTTTTATATTTGCAGTATTACATTCAAAGGAAATAAATCCTATTTTATTTGTATTTTAAAAGTAGTTTTACTTCTTTCAGATGTTAAAGAGTGAGTTTCAAAAAGAAGTGTATATGAAATTTTATTTTTCAGATACTATTTACAGAGGCATTTTTGTCGAAAAATGACTCCAAGAGAATGCGAATTTTTGTGAAGAACTGTTACAGTATGATTGGTTGCTTGTTCCTAGGGTTTTCTTTGTGTGTACTATTTATTGAGATTGTTAAGATGTTTGTGGGTCGTTTGCGGCCTCACTTCTTCTCTGTGTGCCAACCTTCATTTTCATCCACGAACTGTTCAAGGAAATTCATTACAAACTACAGCTGTCAAGGGAAAGATCTTGAAAGCATATCAGATTCAAAGTAAGTGATTGATTCTATATGTTAAAAAAATCTTTACATAGGGAATATTATAAGAATTCAGTAAGTATATATATATATATATATATATATATATATATATATATATATATATATATATATATATATATATATATATATATTATAGAAAGTAGGCCTACTTATTTTTCTACAACTGACCCTTTCGCTCCGTACCGGTATATTATAAAAGTTGAACAACTATCTTTGAAATATTGGGATATGCTAGAAGCATTAAAATACCATTGTGTGTATGTGGACTTTCCTACAGGCAAAATTTATTTCAATTAAATGTTAAATCTGAATTTCTATACCAACAGGAAGTCTTTTCCGTCAGGTCACAGTGGCGCCGCCTGGAATGGCATGGTGTTCTTAGCAGTGAGTGACTTTTTAAATCATAATTCATAAAGTGTTAAAAGATACCATTACAATGAACATTTCTGACGTTATATTATCATGATCAAAGTCCAAGATTGCGAAGAGAAAATGACTGTTCAGTTCTAAGACGTATTTTTATAGCCAAGATTAGAAAATGTGACCTGTGTTATCAAAGGAATATGCTTTACATATTTCATAACCAGTTAGGTTTTAGGCAAATGCATCAATGTTGAATGAATCTGAATGTGAAGTTCAATAGAAATGTAGATCTTTCTTCTTTCAAAAACATTGAAGTGATATGTGTTTACATGTTATATGTGTGCTCTATTATGAAACACGAACAACCTACTTATAGATATACATACAGATCCGTGTTCGTCGTCACTGGCCACGGCTTCGTGTCGCCTGCCCCCTGCTGCAATTTGTAGCCGTAAGTGTTGCAGCTTATGTCAGTATCAGTCGTCTGCAAGACTACAAACACCATACTGGTGACGTCATTGGGGGCGGCATCATTGGAATACTTTTCACTATAATTGTGGTGTGTATAATTATTCCATTTTTGCTGGATAATCCCATTTTACGCATATTTAGAAAAAGAAGAACATAAAATTAAAGAGCGAATTAAATTTAATACCTGTCTACGATGAGCCTTCATTTTTTTTTTTTTTTTTTTTTTTTTTTTTTTTTTTTCATTTTAACTTTTTTTTTTTGGTAGATGTATCAAAATCCAAATGTTAAAAGGCATTTTCTTCACCACTATGATCAAGCAGATTTGGGTGAAACTATGGACACCGTAGTATGCATGGAGCTACACCAAGAAAATAAAAATTCCGCAGAAATCCCAACGATAAATGGTCAAGCAAAGACCTAATACCAAGGATATCGAGATTCATTGACATCTATTATGTTTTTATAAATTGTTATTACTTTTATGACTCAAGTTACTTCTTTCTTTTTGGTGCTATATACACTGTATTTCATTCTTATAACCAAACAAAGTTCATAATACATGTGATCGACATTTTTTGAAGTTTTGTAAATATCGCCTAACTTTATAAATTTGGAATGCTTCTGAAGAGTAGGTAATTATTATAAAGAGTCATTAAACAGTCATGATAAGTGTTTTGCTTCACAAAACAATTCCAGACTCAGGGAAAATATACAAAGTTATGTAGCGTCAGCTAAACATAAATGTTTGTAATAAAATTCCTGATTTCACTCATTGATAAATAAACACTGAATATACAGTCATGTAATCGAATTAGTTTATAGAATACGCAGTGTTAACAAGTTGTGATTTTAGTCTAGAGATCTTTTTAAAATAAGACGTGTAATGCTGTGGATACACTATATGTATACACTTTGGTAAAAAATTGCTTAAATTTCTTCTAAAACTAAATTTTTAAAAGGCCATCATGAAGCCATCCCTCCACCTTTGTGGATGACATCTTCTTTCCGTTATTTTTTTTAACATACAGTCTTGATCTGATGGTTTATATAGGGGTTGAAAAACTTGTAAATTATTGTGTCTTCTTCATCAAGATACTTTGGCTTTACTATATACCAAAAGAAAGTGTTACGGAGTCGTGTGTTTGATCTGTCTTGGTATTTAACATTTAAAAAAACAAACAAACAAACAAACAAAAAACCCAACGTTCTAGTTCTTCACTTCAACCTCTTCAGAAATACAGCAACTGCATTAACATTTTTTATACTTATGATGAAAATTTATATTTTACCGAAGAGTATAAAAGTAATTTATCGATCATCAACATTTTTTTTTTTTTTTTTTGGTTAAGGGTATTTATTTTCCACTTGTAACATAGCACGTTAACACCAAATCTGAAGATTTACATTAAAAAGTAATTTTTACATGATTGGTTAAAACAAATGTCCAGATGATGTTTTATTTGTATGATTTTTATATCATTTATTTACAACGTAGCATATTATATTAATATACTAGTATCTGGTAGTTGTATAATTGTTTTCACTTTTTTGTCAGTTGTTACATTGTTTTATTAAATTAAAAAAAACCTTTCTTACATGTATGTTTTTTTTTTTTTTTGAACGTTGAGATTGATAATTAAAGTATACAGACTTCTCTTCGGCTCAATATTACATGTATTATAATAAATATTGTATAGTAATGTATTCTCAGTAATGTTATTGAATGGAATTGATTGCTACAATTGCATACAATTTTGATAACTTACAAACCCTCTACTTCCTTCTTTAATAAGATGAGGAAAATATTGGATTTTATTGAATTTGAAGTTTGTTACTTTTATGGATATAGCAGCACAGTTCACAGTACTTACATTGCCATCTCTTCATTTTAAAGCCTCGAAATTAAGATCATCGTCTGAAGTTAAGGGTTTCTGTGTCCATTCTTCACCCCAAAAACCCGTGCCTGCTGCTGCAAGATTCGCTCTTTCTCGCGAATGAAATACTGAAAATCTACGAAGTGACTTCACTTTATTTAATTAACTCTTCACTGTTTGCTTTAGTCATTTTTATACTGGAAGCTGAGATGGTTCAAACCAGTGTTGTAATCATTCAAATTCCCATTATAAACGCCAGCATGCTGGAAAAACCTTTAATCAGCTTAGTAGGAAAAAATGCAGGGACGAGGCACAAAGTATCGTTTCTAAAGGGGCAGCCAGGAAAAGAAATATTAATTTGATAACTTACCTGAACAAGCAAATTCAAAGAATTGTGGTCTCGCGCTTTCGGTGTCTTAGAGGATGTGATGTCATTATTTATGGCATATTGTAACTGTCTTGTTTGTGTGTCCTGTCTTGTCTGTTTATTATACAAAAGACACATAGATTAATGAATTAATAAAAGTTACGGCAAAAATTATAGCTTCTCAAAACTACATTAAATGTTAAGGTCATAAGGTCAAATATCATAATAAAATCCAAAAGGTTTTGTCACAAGTAATGCACATGTGAAAAAAAAAATATCAAAAACCAGAGTATACAATTGGAAAGGTCTTAAAAAAGGTAATGCACATGTCAAATGCAAACCCCATATCTTCTCTCAATCAAAAGTTATTAGCAATGTTAATTTTTTTGAAAATTAGGTAAAACTTCAAGGTCATATAATTAAAAATGATAGTCCGTTTGGAAATGCTTGTCACAGGTAATGTCAAATATGAATGCCCTATCTTCACTCCCTCAAAAGTTTGCGACACTGATGAAATGTTTGAAAAATACATCAAAACTTGAAGGTCAAGGTCACGGTGTCAAATATCATAGTACCTTCGGAAAAAAAAAATTGACACAGGTAATGCACTTGTCAAATATGAGCGCCCTATCATATGTCATTTATGAGATATCATCAAAGTTAATTTTTTTGAAATAAGGTCAAACATGAAGGTGAAGTTCAAGGGGTCAAAAAATCATAAAATGTTCGGAAACATCTTCACACTGGTAATGCACATGTCAAATATGAAAGCCTTATCTATTCTCAATCAAAAGTTATAAGCAACGATAAAACATCTGAAAAGTAGGTCAAACTTCAAGGTCACGGGGTCAAAAATTATAGCATATTTGGAAAGGTAGTGTCACAGGTAATGCACATGATAAATATGAAAGCCCTATCTTTTCTCAATCAAAAGTTATAAGCAAAGATAACAGTTTTGAACAGTAGTTCAAACTTCAAGGTCAAGGTCACGGGGTCAAAAATCGTATTATATTTGGAAAAATACATAATGTCTTCGGAAATCAAGACCAATCCTTACCTTAACCTCAATTCTCTCCCTGCCAGAAGGCACACAAGGCCTGAACATCCCTCTTCCACTGGTGCCGGTCCGAGGCTGCACGGCGTGCCGTGTTCCATGACTTACAGCCCGCATCATTTCATTCCACCTCCACCATCCGCCGCCATGTTGTCTTGGGGCGGCCTCGCTTCCTTCTCCCCCCCTCAGGTGTCCACCCGAGGGGCCACAACACAGTCATCTGTTGGGTCCTTCCTCAGCACATGGCCGATCCAATTCCATCTTCTCCTTCTTACCTCGCCCCTGATGTTTTCTGCTCCTGCCATCTCCAGAACTGTCTTGTTTGGGATATGCTGCTGCCATCTGACCTGGAGAATCCTTCTGAGGCACTTGGTTTGAAAGATGTCAATCCTCTTTTCCTCTATCTTTGTAAGCTTCTAAGTCTCACATCCATATATCAATACGGAGAGGACCAGGCTCTTGAAGAGGCAGACTTTGATCTTTCTACTGATGTCTGTGGCCTTCCAGATGTTGGCTAGCCCCCTGAAGGACGCGTCGGCCAATGCTATCCTCTTCCTGATGTCAGCAGTATCTCCACCGTCCTTGGTGACATTGGCGCCAAGGTAAGTGAAGCTGTCCACCTCTTCGGCTTCACTGTTTCCGACTATCAGGCTGGATTCACTCTTGTTGTTTATCTTCATCACTTTGCACTTTTTTGCATTCAGCTTCATCCCAACTTTTGCTGAGTTGTCTTCCAGTTTTGTTGTCTTCGACTGAAGATGGTTCATTGTTGAGGACAGAAGGGCAATGTCGTCCGCAAAGTCGAGGTCTACAAGCATAGTGGTGAAGTCCCATCGAATGCCCGTTCTTTCTTCTCTGATTGTCTGTTGCATCACCCAGTCTATCACCAGTAGGAACAAGAAACCTGACATACAGCATCCTTGTTTGACGCCGGTCATCACAGGGAAAGGGGCTATGGTCTCATTGCCGTCAATTACAGAACACTGAAAATCGTCATACATGGCTTTGACCATCTTGATCAGTTTTTGGGGTATTCCATATTTCTTCATGATGACCCAAAAGCTGTCTCTGTGCACCGAATCGAACGCTGTGGATGTACAGGGTAGCATTCCACTCGTTGACTTGCTCTAGGATGTTCCTGAGGATGAAGATCTGATTGATAGTCCCTCTCCCTCTCCGGAACCCTGCCTGTTCTTTCCTAAGGGTGTGGTCAACTTCGGCCTGTATTCTGTTGATGAGGATTCTGCTGAGTGCTTTGCTGGCTATGTCAACAATGTCACCCCCTCCAGTTGCTGCAGTCCTGTAAGTTGCCTTTCTTTGGAATTTTGCAGATCAATCCCTTGGTCCATTCTTTGGGCACCTTCTCCTCCTTTCATATCTGGTCAAAGGTGTGATTCAGTTCCTGAATGGTCTGATCAAGGTCTGCCTTTAGCATATCTGCTGTTATTTGATCTGCTCCAGGGGCCTTCCCATTGCGAAGCGTCTTCAGTGCAGCCCTTCTTTTCTGTGTAGTGGGTGGCTCAACTGAAATGTCTAGCTCCTCACCCTCTTCATGCTCATCTTGTGGTGGTGACTCTGGAGTGTCCCAATTGAGCACTTCCTCAAAGTGTTCCCATTATCTGGCAAGCCTCGCTTCTTTATTCTTCGACAGCTCCCCATTCTTGCTTTTCACTGCTGTTGTTTGTCTATTACTCTTTCTAGTCAGCTGCTTTACGATGCTGTATAGTTCCTTCTGTCTCTTCTCGGCCGCTTTCTGTGCTCGCTCAGCTTTCTCTGCCATCCACCTCCTCTTGTCCTCTCTCACACTTTTCTTGACTTTTCTTCACTAGATAGTGGTCGCTGTTGGCATCCACTCCCCTCTAGACTTTGGTGTCAAGAACAGAAGATCTCCACTGTCCACTAATGAGAAGGTGGTCAAACTGGTTTTTCGCTATCCCATGTTGCCTTGTGGATATCTTTGTGGGGGAACAATGTTCCTGTGATTACTAGTCCGTTGGTCTGACAAAATCCACACAGTCTTTCTCAATTCTCATGTTGTATACCCAGTCCATGGATACCCATAGTTCTTTCGTACCCGTTGTTATCACTCCCTACCTTGGCGTTGAGGTCCCCCATGATAATTATGATGTCGTTCTTGTTGCATCCATCCAAAGCCTCCTCTAGCTCCTGATAGAATTGGTCCTTTTCTTCCTCTTCCTTTTCATTATGTGGCGCATAAGCTTGGATCACCGACACTCCCCTGTATTTTGTATAGAATCGTGCTGTTATGATTCTCTTGTTGATCGATGTCCATTCCATGAGTGATTTCACTGCCTGCTGACTGATCATTATGGCGACTCCTCCCTAATGCAATTCTTCATCCCCGCTGTATATGACGGTCTGGCCTGAGACCAGTCTCATCCTCCCAGCTCCTGTCCATCTGCATTCACTGATTCCAAGAATGTCCAGCTGGTATCCTTCCATTTCTCTCGCAATCTGTGCTGAAGCCCTTCCTCTGTACATTGTTCGCACATTCCAGTGTCCGATGGTGAGTGTTTGTTTGGGTGTCACAAGGGATCTAGTCGGACGCTGGGCTTCCCTAAGGCTTTCACCCCTCGTCGTCCTACTGCCACTGTTGGTGGTCCCCGCTTCATCCAGTCTTCTTTGCTCTTTGATGTCCATTGTTTCTGAAACTGTGTTTTTTTTCCGGGAGGAGGTAGTCGGCCTCCTGCCCAACCCCCAAACTTGGAGAACCAGTGGTTTTCTGTCAGGGTGTCCTTCCCTTATGCTGCGTTGGTCCACGGCACCTTCTTCAATTTATCTGGTGCACCCATAAATAAGTGAGGGATCCCCTATCCGCCACCCCAGGGGACGCGCCTCCTAGACGTGCAGCCCCAGCCGAAAGAATCAAGACCAATACCTCAAGGAATTGAAGGAATAACAAGGGAAGTGCTTTAGTATTGCCTGCCCATATACAATGTGTTCTTTTAAAATACTGAAATAAAATTTGCAGTTAATAACAAATCTGAGGCTTAAGAATCAGGTTAAAAGAACAAACTTTATTTATTTCCATAGAAGTTATCACACCCATTCAATAGAACAATCAAAAAAGATAATTTACTTGTGACATTTGGCGCGAAATGATTGTGTCACCCCTTTCGTAGAAGACAAATGGACTGATCCAGTA